GCTCCCACTATACATATTGCTGATGGTTCTCATATGCCTGTTAGTCATATTGGCCAAATCTCTACTTCTACTGTGTCTCTTTCTGATGCTTACCATATTCCTTCTCTTAAAATGAACCTAATCTCTGTTGGTTAGTTATGTGAACTTGGTCTAACTATTACCTTTTCTGCTAATGGTTATTTGGTACAGGACCCTCAGACGAGACAGATCCTTGGAATAGGCTGTAAGCATGGACGTCTGTTCGAGCTTATCCATCTTCGTAGTCCACACAAATCATCTCCTGTTGCTGCAACTACTATGTCTCCTTTTCATCTTTGGCGTTGTCGCTTAGGACATGTCTCTCTTAGTCGTTTAAAAAATTTAGTTTCTAGTGGTCAGTTAGGTCGTGTCTGTCTTGACGACGTCGATTGTTTATCTTGTCAAATTGCTAAATAACCTGCATTACCTTTTAATATTTCTACTGCTCCTTTTGATCTTGTGCATTCAGATATTTGGGGACCTTCCTCCATACCTATCATGGGGGGGTCTAGATATTTTGTGATTTTTGTTGATGATTTTTCTCGCTATACTTGGCTTTTTCATCTCAAAAATTGCTCTGAACTTAAACAGATTTACTATGATTTCTCTGCTGTGGTCCACACTCAGTTTTCTTGTACTATTAAGCTTTTTCGTTTTGATAATGCTAAGGAGTACTTGGATTTTGATTTTCTTTCTTTTCTTCGGGCTCATGGTACTCTTTCTCATCGATCTTGTGTAGGCACTTCCCAACAAAATGGACGAGCCGAAAGAAAGCACCGTCATATTCTAGACACTACTCGGGCTTTTCTCCTTTCTTCTTCTTGTCTTGAAAAATTTTGGGGGGAAGCTGCCCTCACTGCCATTCATACCATCAATCGAGTCCCTACCCTTGTAATAGCTAACACAACTCCTTACAAGCGTTTGTATGGTTCTCCTTCTGATTATACCACTCTTAAAGTTTTTGGTTCTGCTTGTTTTGTTCTACTTCTGCCTCATGAACACACTAAACTAGAACCTCGCTCTCGTCTTTGTTGTTTTCTGGGGTATGGTATCGAACATAAAGGGTATCGTTGTTGGGATCCTATCTCGAAGCGTCTTCGTATTTATCGTCATGTGGTTTTCTGGGAACACAAAATGTTCTCCGCTCTTTCCAAGTTTCACCTACCACAGTCCACCCACTCATCGGTCTTCACTGATATTTCTATAGATTTGTTTTCTGATGACTTTGATCCAGATTCTGGCCCCATGCTTCCACAGCCGCCTACGCCTATCGTCCATCTTGCGGATCTTGTGTCAGCTGATGGTCCTACGCCTTCTCCGGCTCCGGTGGAGGTTCCTCCGGACCCTATTTCCATTGAGGTTCCTCCTCCACTTGAGCGTCATTCTACTTGAGTAAGGCAACCTTCTGTTCTTTTCCGTGATTATATTGTTGGTTCCACTGCTTTTTGCTCTTATGAACCTACTTCTTATCAAGAAGCTTCTTCTAACCCTCTTTGGCAAAAAGCTATGACTGATGCATTGCAGGCTTTCGATCAAACTCATATTTGGGATGTGGTTGATCTTCCTCCTGGCAAGCGTACTGTTAGTTGCAAATGGATTTACAAGATCAAAACTCATTCTGATGGTTCCATTGAGCGTTATAAAGCTCGCCTTGTCACCCAAGGATTTAGTCAAGAATATGGGATTGACTATGAGGAAACATTTGCTCCTGTTGCCTGTCTGACTTCAGTTCGCTGCTTACTTGCCGTTGCTACTGCTCGCCACTGGCACCTTTCTCAGATGGATGTCAAGAATGCATTTCTCAATGGTGACCTCACTGAGAAAGTTTATATGCAACCTCCTTCCGGTTCTTCTGTTCCCTCAAACAAGGTTTGCAAACTCTGCCGTGCTTTATATGGTTTGAAACAAGCTCCATGTGCCTGGTTTGCCATGTTTGGCTCTACCATTTGTGACTTTGGTTTTTCTTCCAGTGCCCATGATTCTGCCTTGTTTATTCGTAAGACGGAGCGCGGTACTATTCTCATTCTCCTCTATGTGGATGATATGATTATCACTGGAGATGACACAGTGGGTAGTTCTAGTCTCAAATAGTTTCTCCATCGCCAGTTTGAGATGAAAGATTTGGGTGCACTTAGCTACTTCCTTGGCTTGGAAATTTCTCAAGATTCCTCTGGTTATTTTCTTACTTAGGCCAAGTATACTTCTGATCTTTTGGCTCGTGCTAGCCTTTTCGATTGCAAGATTGTCACTACTCCAGCTGATCCTCAGACTCGTCTCACACCTCTTGACGGCCCCCTATTGTCAGATGCAACTTTATATCGTCAGTTAGTTAGTAGTATTGTCTATCTCACAGTTACTCATCCAGATATTGCTTATGCTGTTCACATTATTAGTCAATTTATGACTGCTCCTCACTCTCCGCACTTTGCTGCTCTGGTTCGCATTTTGCGCTATTGCAAAGGAACTTTGTTTCATGGTCTTCACTATTCCCCTCACTCTTCTTTATAGCTGCATGCCTTTTCTGATGCCGATTGGGCAGGGGATCCTACCGATCGTCGTTCCACTACTGGGTTCTGCTTCTTCTTGGGCACCTCTCTCATTTCCTGGTGTAACAAGAAGCAAACCCTTGTTGCTCGTTCTAGTACCGAGGCTGAGTATCGTGCTCTTGCAAACACTACTCAGGAGCTTGTGTGGCTTCGTTGGCTTCTTTCTGACATGGGTGTTTCTCATTCAGCTGCCACTAATCTTTATTGTGACAATCAAAGTGCTGTTTAGATTGCCCATAACGATGTCTTCCATGATCGCACCAAGCATATTGAGATCGATTGCCACTTCATACAACAGCATGTTATTAGTGGCCATGTCCGTCTTCTCTTTGTTACCTTTGCTGATCAGACCGTCGACCTCTTCACCAAAGCTCATCTTCCAGGCCGCTTTTCTGATCTCCTCTCCAAGCTCAAATTGATATTTGACTTACCACTTTGAGCTTGAGGGGGGGGGGTGTTAGCTGTATATTATTATAGATGTATCTTATCTATTTGTATTGTATCTCTCTCAATCTCTATCTCCTTCTACGCTTATCTCTATCTTTTCTGTACCTATCTAGGTTTCTTTCTGCCTATATATACAGGCTTCTCCTATTGCATTATTCATTCAATTCAATATAGAGTTTCTTCTTTCTCTTGACCGTCGACCTCTTCACCAAAGCTCATCTTCCAGGCCGCTTTTCTGATCTCCTCTCCAAGCTCAAATTGATATCTGACTTACCACTTTGAGCTTGAGGGGGGGTGTTAGCTGTATATTATTATAGATGTATCTTATCTATTTGTATTGTATCTCTCTCAATCTCTATCTCCTTCTACGCTTATCTCTATCTTTTTTGTACCTATCTAGGTTTCTTTCTGCCTATATATATAGCCTTCTCCTATTGTATTATTCATTCAATTCAATATAGAGTTTCTTCTTTCTCTTTGTTCACTACTTTCATAACAACTTTGTTAACAAATTTTTTCTCCGCATGACATAGACGGAGCTATAACTTGACTAGGCCTGAGGTGGCGGAACCCTATATACATGGTATGTGATAAAACTTCAATTTGTTTAGTGTATAGTGCCCGTAATGCTGGAGGATAAATTAGTAATATTGACCAATGATATTGAGGTTGAACTAGTAATCTTAGTCTTAAACCAAAAGAATTTTGTTGCTTTTGTTTTTGTTGTGGACAAAGACTTCTCTCGTATTCTTTCTGACCAACAAACCATTTGGTGAGCCCCTAAAGGCTCCTTCACATTCAATGCTATTCTCTCAGTTCTCTTTCAACAAAGGAAGGGCACATTATACTGTAGAGGATATTCTTTTTTAAAATTCGGGTAAATTACGCAATACTGTCCTTATGTTTGGCCATTTATCACTTTAAGTCTTAATTTTTTTTTTTTTTCACTTTGACCTTTTATATTTTAAGTTTCTTTTGCTTAACTCTTAATATTAATTTCTGTTAAAAATTAAATAGAAAATAACACATTAAAAGTCACATGGCATAAAAATATTTTACTATCTATAACTCACACATTTGATATAAACTTAAACTCTAATATAATAATATATATTTTTATGTTATGTAATAGTTATTGTGCATTTTTTGCCTAATTTTGAACAAAAGTTAGTTTTAGAAATAAAATAGAAAAAAAATTTAAAACATAAAGGACTAAAGTAAAAAAAATAAACTTTAAAAAACCAAAATGAAAAAGTAACCAAATATAAAAGGTGCAAAGCATAATTTACCCTTAAAAACTCTGATATTCTCTTTATTAGAATTTGATAATACCTCATCGTAATAGTTATTTTAACTCATTTTTAAATAATTTATTTAGACACTTATTATGAGTCACTTATTGTTTTTGGTTTGGGATATGGGTTGACTTTTTGGATTTTTAATTTTTTGGCTATTTTAGGTTGGGGCTAAAAAGTTTCGTTTGGGATAGATTTTTTGACTTTTTTGACTTTTGTGAGAAAAAAATAAAATAATTATGATTTAGATTTGATATTTTGTCTTATTAGACTAAAAAATTTATTTTGTCTCTTTATGTTTATTTTAATAAAAAAACTTCGTTTAACTTAGGTCAAACGAGGGCTTAATGCTACAAAGTATGGCACAGAATTAATAATTGATGAATTTCTCTATCAAAAAACATCAAGACCCACTTTGATGGCGAACTATCTTTGTATTTAAGAAAACTATTTCTTTTGTTTTGTTTATTAGTACCTTTGTTTACAATTATTTTTTTTGTCTAAAATATTTTAACGTATTGCAAATTTGGATATAAAAAACGTAAATATACTCCATGGTGCTGTCTAAGTTTTTTTGTACAAAAGGATCGGCTCCAAAGAATAAAATCATAGTTCTGTCCCCACTACCAAATGCTTCGTTTCCTTTCCTTTCATTTCATTATCAATCTCATTTCTTTTTACTAATTTCACGCAGATACAAGATCTATGTTGAGGGAAGAGCATGGTCTGTCAGTGAAAAATATATTCTGGCATGTGATTCTATGAGTTTGCTAGTAACACCTCATTACTATGATTTCTTCTCAAGAAGTTTATTACCCTCAATTCACTACTGGCCAATCAAAGAGAATGACATCTGCAGATCTATCAAATCTGCAGTTAACTGGGGAAACAAACACCCAGAAAAGGTAATCAAATTTCTCCATAATACAAGATTCACAATTATTAGCTGCAAATATATATTGCAAATTAGTTCGTCGGGCTTAACAATCTAAAGTGTTGGGCCTAATAATATTTTATTTGCCGTTCATTGCATTTTTGCTATATGGGTTATAGTAACTTAATAAATTATCTAGTTTTTGGGAACACAATATGGTTGTATATTCAACCAATAGTATTTTATGATTTTTTTTTTTTTTTCCAATAGTATTTTATGATTTTTTTTTTTTTTTTTTTTTTTTGAACAATGTGAATACGTAACCCCTTACTATTAGATGGGCAAACTACCAATGTGGTATTCGTGGAAAATTACATAAAACCGACATTACTTGCGGGAGGCAACAAATCAAATTGTCATGTGTTAAAACTGTTAAAAATCAACCATGATACAATTTTAATTAGAAAATTATATAAGCTTTCTAAAAATTTTGATATCATTAGTAGATTTTCAGTAGTTTAAACATCCAATCGCTTTCTGTCAATGGCCTTTGGACTAGATTTTTGTGCCTAGGAGGCAGAAAAACAATCACACACAAGCACACAAGTGAGAACATGCATAGACTTACGTGATTCGGCAAATCGCTTACGTCCACGGACAATGGATTTACTATATGGACAGAAATACAAAATTACAACAATAGAGGAGAAGGAGACACTACTCTCACTCAACTCTTGCTCACACCCTCTCTTGTTGCTTAACACTGTAATTCTCACACTCTTCTTTCACCACACAAAACTCCTCCCATTCATTACCCATTTATAGATGCAATGGGAGAGCCAAGCCACCGACAACATCAAAGGCCGCAACCTTACCATGAGTAGCTCGGCTGAATCTCTAGCTTCTTCATTTGTCTTTAATCAGCAGCCATTGTTGACAAAGAAAATTTGAGCCAATCTTCAACATAGATGGCATGACTCCAATACTTTATTAGAAGAAGTTAGAGGTTCAATCTCCTCCCTTGCTTTGTAATATCATGATGTTCTTGTAATGTGATGCAATCGATTAATGTCTAAATTATAATGTGTATAGCTATTTTCTTGTTAATTGACTACAAATATTATTTTCTTTCAACAATTTTATATTTGAAATGTGTGGAATAAATTCACCTGAATGTGACCCACACTACACCCAAGTATAACTTTATACTACACATTCAAATTCTCAATAATTTTTTGCATATTTTTTCTTAGTTTATAGGATTTCTACTTTCCTTTCGTTGAAAAAAAAAAATGTTGTAATGTCTGTCTCTATACAAGTTTATGAATGTGGTAGAATTTTTATATGATTTTTTTTTTTTCTCTACTCAACTTTATACTACACATTCAAATTCTCAATAATTTTTTGCATATTTTTTCTTAGTTTATAGGATTTCTACTTTCCTTTCGTTGAAAAAAAAAAATGTTGTAATGTCTGTCTCTATACAAGTTTATGAATGTGGTAGAATTTTTTATATGATTTTTTTTTTTCTCTACTCATTAACTTAATTTTTTTTAACCAACTCCAATGTAACTCAGGTTCAAGAGATTGGAAAGGCTGGGAGCAAGTTCATTCAAGAGGAGCTAAAAATGAAGAGTGTCTATGACTACATGTTTCATTTGCTATATCAATATGGAAAGCTTCTGAAATACAAACCGACTGTACCAGAAGGATCAGTTGAAGTGTGCTTAGAGACAATGGCATGCTCTGGAACAGAGTTGGAGAAGACATTTAAGATGAATTCCATGGTAAGTGGTCCATCGGATACAAGCCCATGCACCATGCCTCCACCTTATGATCCTACAACTCTTCAATCTTTTCTTGAGAGGAAAGCAAATCTAACAAAGCAAGTGGAGAGGTGGGAAGCAAGTGAAAACACATAATTGGAAGAGACAAATTTAGAAAATTTGAAGAACATTTAATTCTGCAATCATTTTCGAAGTTATTTTTAATAATGCCAAATTTAGTTTCCTAAGAGAAAGTATGTTAAGTATCCTAGTCCTTGCACAATTTTTTTTTGAATTATTTATTTATTTATTATTTTTTAGAGTTCTTATTTTAATGCATGGATGGATCTATTCTTTGAGCTAAGGGCATCTCCAACAGTTAGCTAAGTGAATCTCTTTAATTATGCCAGCGCTTATTCAATTGGATGTTAAAACACCTGTTATAAAATCAAAATTTCGCGAGATTTTTTTCCAAAATTATCTTCGAGAGATTTTATTTATTTATTTATTTAATTTCATTCCAAATGATAGCATTGTCAAAATCTGGAAAGCTTTTTGCCTATTTCTAAGGATGGGTATCGGCTGGTGGCTTGCCCAGTCTGCCTAGATTAAACATTAATTAACAAATATTCAAGATAAGAATATTTTGTTTTGGAAATTATTTTTAAGTAAGAAAGTAATTGTTGAGATGTTTAAACAAGAAAGAATTTCTCTCTTATTATGGGGTTATATATATGTAATTAGTGGTTGTTAGGTTTGGACTTGTGGGCTTGGTATATTAGTTGTGTAAAGTTTTGTTGACTTTCTAGCTATTAAGGACAATAGTCTATCCGATGATATAAATATTTTTTATATTTTTAAGGATTAATTACTTATAGGTCCTATTATAAATACACGTGCACCATTAACTCCAACAAGTGTTTGTATAGATAAAAAAGTCTTAATGAATAATAATAATAAAAAAAAAGATAAAAAAGTCACAGAAGTGTTAGTAATGTTTTTATGTGACGATTTTCTAAATATGTAAAAATTGACAATTAATAAAGTTTTTTGTAATAAGTTTTTTAACTGTTGCTAAAACTAACAATCATTGATATATATATATATATATATATTATGAACATGCTGCTTAAAAAAAAAGAAAGAAAGATTTTATGGTAACAATTACAAGTGAACAGGACTTTTTGATGCACCAAAAAGTCAAGAGGACTTATTGGTGCACCATCTTCGTAGTAAGATTTTTCAGTCAGTTCGTCTATTTGTTATTACTCACCTATCGATTGTCAAAAAAAAATAAAAATAAAAAAAAAAATAAATAAATAAATTCGAACAAGAAAGAAATTGAATGAGAAAAGATAATTAAGGATTGAATTAAATTGAAAGGAGTATACATAGCTTTGTTAATTTTTAGATTTTGTTTCTTCTAAAAATTTAAAATAGACAATTGGAGAAAATTGAAAACCCCACATATATGGATTGCAATGATGAACATCCTTTATAAATAAAGAGATTTTTTTTTTAATTTGATTATTTGTCATTTTTAAATGAGATAGGTCTTAATAAACGGATTTATTGTTCAATAGGTTTTATGATAATTAATGATATTTTTTTATCAAACATTATTAAAAAATGTCACTAATTATTAATTTTTACCGACCAATTAAAAATTTTATTATAAAAAATATCACTAATTATAAGTTTTAGCTATAGTTTAAAAACAAATCACAAAAAGAGTCACTAACTTTTAGTGAGAGTTTGAAAAATTCGTCACATAAAAAGTCATTAATTGTAAATTTTAGAGATAATTTATAAAAATCGTGACAAAAAAAAGTCACTAATTGTCAATTTTTAGTGACATATGCAAAAACTTGTCACAAAAATTTATTTTTAGTGATAATTTTACTTAGACTTATTATCAATAGGACTTGATGTGAATTAAGTCCAACTATTTGGATCTATTGGTAGTTTATCCATTCTAATTTTTTTTTAATTCTTTGATAAGATTATGGAGAATTAAATTTTTATGGATAAATTACAAATACATCCTTTGAGATTCGTTTAAAATATTAAATGTCCATATAATTATGAAAATTACATCATATCCTTAAAAATTTTAATTACGTAACAAATAATCTATTTCATTAATTAGCCATTAAGTGAACTAACAATTTTAATGATGTCAACAATATATTAGGGCCCTGGGTTTGATTTTCTGTTTCCTTTGATATACCAAAAACGTTGATGATTTTTCCCCCTCATAATAAACTCCTCTCCTTGAATGTTCCACTTGATTAGAACCGCTTTTCCTTATGAGTAATCCTAGAAATCTCAAAAGATTTACTAAAATTTCTATCAAATGTCTCACATGAGTGTAGGACCCATATGGAACCCACATGGTATAGGTCCCACACCCATGTAAGACATTTGATAGAAATTTTGATAAATCTTTTGGGGTCTCTAACATTTTCCTTTCCTTATTGCCTATCTCGGTTTTGGGTATACATCTAATCTTTTCTTTTCTATCCTACCCCCGAGTGGATACTTTAAGGAGCACTGTTATGCATTGATCGTTCTCTCTAGGGGCGTAAATTTGGCCTGGCCCGGTTATGCATTGATCGTTCTCTCTAGGGGTGTAAATTTGGCTCGGCTTGGCTAGGCCCACAGGCCAGAAAATTAAGCCCAGACCCAGGGGGTATTATTTCCTTGAGCGGGCTAGGCCGATGGGCCTGGGTAGAGCTTGAACATTTTTTTATATTTTTTTCACCAAAATTTTATTTTTTTCATCAAAAATGACACTGGGTCTCGGGCGGGCAAGGCCGGGCTTTGAGTAGGCCTTGAGTGGACTGATGGGTCAAGCTTCAAAATGATGGCCCAGGCCCAGGCCTAGGGTCTTGGGCTGAGCTTGGGCCTGGGCCTAATTAGGTCGAGCCTACCTCGGGCTGCGGGCCATTTTTGCACTCCTATCTTATCATGTTTTTGCTTAGGCCTCTTTTGAGTAGAGGGTTAAAAGTTGTTTTTTGGCTTTTAACCTTTTTTGGATCATATCATTTCTCTATTTTATATACATTTTTTTCAAAAAAAGTTAAAAAGTTAGTTTTTAACCAACTTACAAAAACAATCGTTAATCAAAACAAAATAAATAAATAAATAAATAAATAAGTCAGAGTATATTAATAAAATTTTATGCTAGTCAATATGCTTTAATCCAAATCTTTGGATTTTGTTGTTGAGGAATCAAAACTGAATTCAGTGTTTTGGTTTAGTTTAATAAGAACTTCACCTTTATTTTTATGGATTAATGCAGTGGTTTCTTTTCAATCTAAAATTGAATTGGAGTATGTTGTTGGGCCTCCGTTGCCTCATCATTGACCCATATCAATGATTCAAACTATTTAATTTATAGAGCTCGTTGAATACTTCATCTTGCAAAAAATCATGTTGATTGAATATAGATAATCACTTGATTAGATAAAATTTCTGTCAGCGGTAATTATTATTTTAAAAATAAATTATTTCTTTATGATCTGATCAAGTTGTTATTGATATCCGATAAACGTGAGTTTTTTACAGGGATAAAATACTCGATGAGTCCTCCATATTGAATGATTTGGATCGTAAAGACGAACCCAAAATGAATCTAGTCCGCTAGAGACGATCCAAGTAAATTTATAACAGCCTATAGAATCCCACAGTTGGTTTAATTGAAGACATGTTGAGAGATGCTCTATAAATAGAGGTGTAATAATGGCCCGAGTCGGCCCGTGGCAGGCCTCATAGGCTCTCGCCAAAATTTGGGCCAGGTCGAGCTGGGCCAACTCATGGGGATAGAAAATTAGGCCTAGGCCCAAGGGGTATTTGGGCCTTAGAGAGGCAGACAGGCCTGAACAATTTTTTTTTTTTTTAAATTTTTTCTACCAAAATTTTATTTTTTTCACCAAAAATGATACTGGTTGTAACGACCTCGACATGTGATTAGTTTATAATGTTTGATTAAGAAGGCCTAATAAGTGATTAAAATGAAATACTATGTTAATTGCATGTGTAATATGTTATTTGTATTGATATCTGTCTGTTGTAGAAAGATCTGTCTATGTTTTTGTTTCATTATGCAAATTGAAGGCCTTATTGGCCACAAAATACGAAATTGATTCGGTTTATGTGTTATTTATAATTTTTGAAAATTTATAGTAGGATTAATTGAAATTCAATTCGGAATGAATTAATTAGGATAATTAATGCCAATTTGATTAGCTTATGCCAAGCTTAATTAAGTCTCACTAATTAAGCCTATATAAGGCACAAGTGATCTCTAGAATACACTTTACACTCTCATTTCTTCATCTTTGAGGCAACAAAAACGTGAGAGAAAGTGAGAGACTAAGAGAATTGAGATCAAGCTTGAGGTTTGAAAGCAATTGCTAGGAGACTTGGAGAATTGTGCAATATTATATTGAGAACCTTAGGTAAGAATCCTAGCCTCTAGCTTTGTAATTTAATTGGTTAATGCATGGACTCAAGTGAAAGAGATGAATTAACATGAGAATTGAGCTAAAAAATGGAAGTGAGAATCAAGTCATGCATACATATGCATTTCATGGAGTTTTGAAGTTGTTTTCAAAGATTTCTCTGATGCATGTGGTAAGTCTAGCATGGTTTTAAGAATTCATAACGTTTCTCACAATTGGACCCCATTTGATCATGTTTTGAAAGCTTTGAAGCTAAGACAATACATGCATGTTATACATACATACAATTCAAGTTTGTCTTTGAATAATTCACTTGCTTTTGGGCCTTGATTTTGTTTAATGATCTTTAATTCATTATGTTTTGTAAGTGTACAAGTGTTTTCTTAAGTTTTGGGCCCAAAGGATGTGTTTTAAGGCTTTGAATTTAAGTTTTGCACCTTGAATAGCAATTTGGAAATCCTAGAATTTTGCATCTACGCTCAAACGATCAAAGTTGCGCTCGAGCAACCACCCTTTGTTTTGTGTCTTTGCTCGAGTGAAGAAGTCTAAGCTCAAGCGTAAAATTCATGCTTCCAAAAGTTTACAAGGTTTTACAGACTGCTCGAGCGACCGAAGTTATGCTCAAGCGAGGATCTTGTCTTTGGCTCAAGTGACCGTCGAGCGTAAAAATCATACAACCAGTACTTTTGCAAACTTTGCAGCTCGCTCGAACGACCAAAGTTGCACTCGAGCGGACTGCCCTATTTTTGAAAATTTGACTAAGTGTTTTGAAGCATATTTTGGTACCCTCATTGCATCTTAGGCATTCTTAAGCCTTAATTAAGACAGAATAATGAGGATAAACACTAGAAACACACCAAGATAGAAAATGAATGAGTTAAGTGTTTTTCCAAGCAAT